GCTATAGGGATGTGGTGGAAAGCACGGACAAGGTCGACGGTTGAGAAGTACCCACAACCGTGAAGAGTGGATGCGAAGTCCTCTATGTGAGGAACCGGATAACGGTCGGGTACAGTTCGTGCGTTGAGTAGACGGTAGTCACCGCAGGGTCGCCACTGGTCGTTCTTCTTTGGGACGAGGTGTAATGGCGATGACCAACTGCTGGTGGACGGTCGGCAGATCCCTTGAGCGAGCATGAATTCAAACTCGCGCTTAGCCAGAATGTATTTGTCCGGCGCAAGTCGCCGGGGTTTGCAGCGCACTGGTTGTCCAGGCGTCGTGATAATATGATGGACGGTGGAGTGTCGGACGGGTGCGATGGTTGGAGATGGACGTGTTATCTCGGGAAACTCGCTCAGTAGTCGATGATAAGGAGAGTTGCCGGCAATAGTTCGTACTGACGGTGCAGTGACGCTGAGGATATGTCCTTGGCTGACCAGTTTCGTTGTTGAGTCGATGAGACGTTTGATGCGAAGTTCTGGGAGAAGTCCATAATGAGATAAAAAAATCGGCATCGATCAATGGTTGTGTGACGTCGGCTACAATGAATCGGCATGTAAAGTTTCGTCGAAGAGAGAAGTCTGGCGTGATTGTTGCATAGCCGTATGTCTTGATTGCTGTGCCGTTCGCTGCGAAGAGTTGATAGTCTTCTACACAGCGCTTTGGAAGGCGTGAAGCTGGATAAATGGAGACATCGGCCCCAGTGTCAATTAAGAATGCGACTTTGGACATACTATCTGTGATGAATAAGCGACGGCTTAAATTTTTGGAATCAGTTGCCGTCTCTACTGACTCCCGTTCTCGTTTCCCATCGAACAAGGTGGTCGGCAGCGTCGGGCATTCGCGCCAAATTTGGCGTGGTACCAGCAGATATTGTTCGGGAAGGTGTTAGGTGGGGAGCGTCGACCGAGTCTTCCACGGCTCGAGGAACGGCGGCGAGGTGGAGAATGGCCATATTGTCGTGACATCTCGGAAATTTGTTTTGAGAGTTTGGAGATTTGCACTTTGAGCGCGGCGATTCTGGGATCGACCGTGGCAGAGGCTGTAGACGTGGCGGAGATATTCGGTGTCGAGGGGTACATTTCGCTAAGGCGGTCGGCGATCTTAGCGAGAGATTCGAGTGTGCCCTCGGATATGGTTAGTATCTTCTGTATATCGGTGGGAAGACGGGACAACCAAATACTTCTGAGTAGGTCCTTGGTAACCGTATGACATGCGAGAGTTCTTAGGCGTCGAAGAAACTGCGATGGTGTGCGGTCGCCGAGCTCTTCGGTACGTATAAGCTTTTCAAGGCGTTGGGCTTCGGATTGGGACAAGCGGTCGATCAGTGCCCGTTTAATCGTTTTGTATTTGTCGGTATTCGGAGGAGCGGCCAAAATGTCTTGAACTTCGGTAGCCATACGTTCAGATAAACTCGCGACTACATGGCTATATTTCGTTTTATCGTGGGTTATATTCGCGAGGACAAATTGGCTCTCCAACTGGGCGAACCAAAGCGCTGGGCTCTCGGTCCAAAATGGCGGCAGCTTGACGGCCACGTGGCCGACCACGGGTTCACTCATTCTTTCACGTACCTGGTAAAATGTTTCTGTTCTCCAAGCGAAATTTGTAAATCCGATGAGTTATCACGTTCGGGTCACCAAATGTAGGCACCAACGTGGGCGATGGTCGATTGGCACTACAATCCTTTGTTTAGTCGTAAGTAGCGGAGCTCTTGTCGAACACACCTGAACTGGCTCGTGGCAGGTCGAATAAGCGCGGTGGTCTGACGAAACGCTCACATCATCCACGGGAGGCCCTCTGGTGGCGACTGTAGGCGTTAGCGCCTCACAACTAATGTAGGCTCAGCTGCATCGTTCTGTAACTCACAGCTACATATGACTTGTTTTTTTTTATATACTAGATATGCAGATGCAGACAACATTAATAAAAAAATCTGGTAATGCTTCATGTATTAAATAGAACAAATTCAATCTTCACAACATACCTAGTTGTGAGTTAGAACTATGCAGTTGGGATTATATACTTGCCGATGTTTTGCCTACTATCACCTGTGGCATATGACTAATGCTAGTCATATCCTATGGCATATGACTAATGAAAAACCTTGTATAAATAATCATTTCATAGTTCTGATAAATTCATATCAAAATATAGAATTTCTACACCAGAGTATTATAAAATGCATGTATGTACCTATAAGCCTTTTACCAGTGTGTGTCTTAAACAAACTATACAATAAAGTTACAAATGTTTTCGAACTGTTACGGTTCTTCTTCAGGTAATTTGAACTTCCTAATGGTATGCACTTCAATTCAAAGTTGTTATGAAATATAATCTGGAACATTGTCCTGAGTGAACTGATGACGTCATTACAAACTTGTCATTACGGACTGGTCAGAGCAGACAAAAGCAATTTGTTAGTCCTCTTAAAGAGGGACACATACAACAGATTATTAGAAGAACATATCAATCGTATGCAATGCAACATCACTAACAGCAACACCATCGCCAATTTACAAACGAAGGTCAAATGCTTCACCAATACGAAGCCAGCAAAATGGCTGGAGCTGAAAAATATTAATACCAATGCACCAGACACTCCCAGAATGTTCACTTTTGCAAAAACCCAAAAACAGGGCTGAGAACTAAGACCAGTTGTAGATAAAGCCAAGGCACCCATTATTAAACTGGAGAAAGTCCCTCATAGGATGCTAGCACCCCTCCTGGAAGGATATCCATACTCCCTCACCAATCCAGTAGACCTGATTTCCATACTTATAGAATTATCAACACCTCCTAGATTCATCACAATCTTAGACTTTAAATCACTGTACCACCTATTAAACTCCCATCGGTATTTTGCGCCATCAGGGATACCCTCTTTAACATTGTAAAAGATAACACATTGCACCAAGACATCCTTGAAATGGCACATTTACTTTGTCACAACTCCTCCTTCCGATCACAGGAGACCTGTGTGAAATGGTAGTAAGTAAACTGGAATCTGAATTTATCTCAAAGCATCTCTCCAACAACATATTATATATGGTATATAGATGATATTCTAATCCTATGGAAAGATAAGCCTAACATTCCTGCACTAGTTGATTCTATCAATGGCAATCCTTATGGCTTAACTATAGAAATAGACCAGGCTCACCCTACAGAAGCTCACTTCCTGGACATTAACATTAAGATTGAGGGAACAACCATCCACACAGAAGTTTATCATAAACCAAGCTCAGATTGTTTGTATATACCAGCGGGATCGTGTGACCCTCCACAATACAAATTCGCAGCTTTCAAAGCATCAATCAAGAGAGCCCATCCTCCCAAACAGCAATCCAGAAATGAAACGTATAGAATATATAGCCAAACAGCATGGTTACTATGGGCTCATACGTAAACTAAACAACAAAATACAGTACCAGCAAGCAAATCGTAACCATCTAACTAACGATACTCCAATTAACAACATCCCAATCACATATAATCCAGTACTAAAATCCATATACACTGGATTGCTAAGAAAAAGAATATCCACATAACTTTCAGAAGGTGTGCTATGATTTTTGATATGTTATGAAACAGAAAGGATACCCCGACAGAAACAAACTTCCAGGCGTGTACACCATTCCTATCATTGATCATAGGTGTACAGTAATAGAAGCATGATCTACATAGGATCAACCAAACTCATCCTCACATCACCCTCAAAACCAGAATTAAAGAACATAAAGCAGATATTCAACATGAAAGAACCAACACAGCTCTGGCCATATATTCTTCGGATCCGGATACAAAACCTATATTCTCTCAAGCAAAGGTCATACACACCACCCACCGAACGGACCACCTCAGATGGCTTGAGGCAATCTACATATATACTTAAATACCATTAAGGAATGTAATTGTATTAACTACAAGGAGGAAATTGCTCTATCAATGGCCTGGCAGGCCCTACTGGATAAAACTCTATGATAGCACACAACATGCATAGCGCGCAAGTCCGTATGACGTCATTGGTTTGCTCGGGATAATGTTCTGGATTATATTTCATAACAACTTTGAATTGAAGTGCATACCGTTAGGAAGTTCAAATTACCTGAAGAAGAACTGTAACGGTTCGAAAACATTTGTAACTTTATTGTATAGTTTGTTCTAAGACATACACCCATAAAAGGCTTATAGGTACTTACTTCCAGCATAAACCAAAAATCGGTGCTTAATTCAACTTTTACGTCTTTCACTAACGTTTTCGAACCTTTGGTTCTTCTTCAGGTGAAAAAACGGGCAAACCAATTTACATTCAATTGAGCTGATCTTTTTTGAAAGAATTCTGAAATGGAATATCATCAGAAACTCGTGCAATCGTCATCATCATTTGCACATGTGCCGTTGTGAGCCTAACTTTCATCTCATCATATGTCATATACCAGGGTTTGCCACTCTACTGATAAAGATATTTCATCTTTGCTGTTGATACAATTATTACCCTAAGCTGCTTTGTGTATATAAATCGCTTCCATCAATATTCCATTTCAGAATTCTTTCAAAAAAGATCAGCTCAATCGAATGTAAATTGGTTTGCCCATTTTTTCACCCGAAGAAGAACCAAAGGTTCAAAAACGTTAGTGAAAGATATAAAAGTTGAATTAAGCACCGTTTTTGGTTTATGTTAGAATAAGTTTTAGAAGTTACAGTGTGTTGTGGATATAATATTGCTTATAGGTACATATGTGCAAATTCATATCAAATTTATAAAATTTATACACAGTGGAACCTCGGTATATGACCTTAATCCGTACCTGATGTTTGGACTTACCGAACAGGACGTATACCAAACCAACCTTTCCCATAAGAAGTAATGTAAAAATGATTAATCCATTCTCATGTAAAAAAAATGGCTGGCTTAAAACACCTCGCTTTCCTGGCTAGTTCCTGCTTGATTTTTCATGAGACCAGCATGTATCTTTTTAGCTTTTTCACAAATAATTGCTTCTGATATGCTGTCTCCAGCACACTGTTTTTCAGTTATCCGAGACAAAAGCAATTTCTCAACATGATCTAATGTCTTCGATCTCTGTTTAGAAATTGATTTAACCCCTTTCGCAATGTTAGCAGATTTATAATGTCTTTATTTTTCACGATTGTCAACATTGTCGTTCTCGTAATACGGTATGCAACAGTTAAATCTCAAACATGCATGCCACCTTCATATTTCTCAACAATGTGATTCTAGTCATTTTTTTAGTTTTCGCTTTTCATTTGCCTTTTTGCAATTCATGATTAATAAAAATAATAAAATTTTACTTACAAATTAAAATCAGAAGAATTTTAACAAAGTTATAGACCATAGTGCTACTTGTTCATAGATGATGCGTATAATTGAATTAAGTCGTATACCGAGCAAAATTTATTTCATCCAAACAGGATGTATTCTAAAGCAGACGTATACCAAGGTATCATTGTAATTTAAAATTATAATTGCCAATTAGAAAAAATATATGTAGTATGGTACATTAAAGGTGACTACCTCTTTTCTTCACAGATTCAGTAATACCAATAAGCAAATTATAAAAAAACAAACAACATATGACATGGCATTTCAAATATTGTATATTTACATCCAACAAAAAATTTTCAACATAATAAAAAAACCATATAAACTTAAAAATACCTACCAAAAAATCAGTTAGCCTATATGGAACAAATGAAGAATATATTTACATCATGAACGTTTTCCATATCAAAGTTTAATGCTTTAACTGCCAGTTGGATCTTTGTGAGTTCATCCTTTGACCCAAAGATTTTTTTGTTTGAATTGGCTCATGTAAACCAGGTACTTTTGTAAATTTAATGTTTTTCTCAGTTTTCTGGAACTCAACTCACTTTTCACATTGAAAAATATTACAACTTTTGGATAATCATTAGAATTTTAGAGATTATGTCAGAATTATTTGCTCCATTTGAGCTTCACCAATAAATAGATAATTTTCTTATCAATCACATAGTTATGATTGCTATGTAAAAGAATATTAAAATCTGAGATAATGTGTCTCAAATATCCTGACTTATCACAAAATTTTTTTTAAAAATTCTCTTGATAATGAGTGTAAACATTCAAAAACATTTGATCCTTCAATATGAAGTCATTATATTTTAAATGTAAATTTATGGAATATAATGTTATGTAATAATTATTTGAAAATAATTGAAATATAGTATTATTTAAGGGATTTAAGGGACAGATTACTAATCAGATATCAAATTTAAATCTTCTACAGAGGTGTGGACAACCCTTTTAAGTATGCATGCCAAAATCACCAAATCTATATTGCAAAATTTTCTTTTATGCATCCAAAATTTTTGGGAGCAAATAATTATTTGGTCAAGCAGCTAGAAAATGCTACAAGAAAGCTAGATTTAATAGATTATACATATGCAACAAACCCGGATATAATCCCGATTTTTAATGAGGCACGAATCATCCACACCACTCGTCATCAGGAACATCTAAGAACCTTGGAAGCGATGGAAATATACAGAGCAGATCGCAAATTAACCTGCATCAATCTTAAAGAAGAAATGAATCTTTCAACAGCGTGGCAGTATCTATTGGATGATGAATCGTAATTTATTATACGATACACGAGATTATTAGGGGATACGCACATCGTATCGCTACTAGTTAAAATTATTTTTAGAAACGGCACGTGATTAGTTAAAATCGTATCGCTACTAGTTAAAATTATTTTTAGAAACGGCACGTGATTAGTTAAAATCGTATCGCTACTAGTTCAAATTATTTTTAGAAACGGCACGTGATTATAAGATACACGAGATTATTATGGGATGCGCACAACATATCTCCACGAATATAATTTATAAAGAAATTATAATTTGGAAAGGCACGTGATTACCTTCCTCATTTGAACTTCTAGTAACTGAGCACGTTCTTATTTAAAAACATTCGATTTAAGAATCCAGTACAGTAAATTTGGCCTGAAGAGCCCAGGAGGGGCATCGAAAGCGTTTGCCAATCTTTGTTTGGAGTTTTCACGCCGGATATTGGTTAAGAAGTGAGCATATTTGTTACTATCTATCTTGTAAGAAAAGTTATAGTTAATATTAAATTGCATGTTTCTAGCCCTTCTGTTTACATTATTAATTATTTTGTTACTATCATCATTTAAGGCTATAACGTTTTTAAGAGCTTATCATACATGGAGGCCAATTTTCAGAATTTAGATTTTATTAACATTAAAATATAATTCTTAGCTAATTTTACAATAAAATTCTTATTCAAATTTTCAGCCTACTAATAAATATGCATTTCAGCATCATGCCCTCATCAGTTTACACTTTTTTAGGATGTTCTATTACAAATTAATGTATTTAAAATAATCATGTTGGAAATGAACCTCTTCGTAACCATGTTGGACATAATTAAAACATTCAACCATATACTAGACATGCTATTACATTACCTATGTTAAATATATACCGCTTATTTTTTAAAATATTTTTGAATTTTAATTTTAATCATTAGTATGTTTAAGAGCATTAAGAATTCAATTACGATTTGTCTTTGAAAAAGTTGTTTCAATAGCTGAAGAGAGTTTTAGGAAATATATCTACTTGTTTATTCCCTGTATGCCTTGCTATTAAAGCAGAACTATTGTCATAAGCTGCAATGCTTGGACAATCTTACCCTTACCTTCTTGATACTTCATCTTGAAATTGTTAATACTAGAGTATATTCCCAATAATCAGGACTAATCACAGGTAATGGAGGTACAGGTAATGCAGAAACACAGATAATTTGAAAGTCTGTTTAAATGAAAGCTAATTGATTTTTCTTTTATTTAGCTTTTAATTTCATATTAAATTTAACATAATAATTTATATATTATAAATAAAATAAGTTTTGAGAATAATAATTAAATTAATTAACTAATAAGGTTTAGATGTAATCAAAATTGAATAAAACTTTTTTAGCATAAATAGAAATTTCAGAAAAATTTATTCAATTAGCACTTCACAATCAAATCTCTTCTTTTATTAACTGAGAATGACAGGTTGCAAGCTAAATATCATCATAAAACATCATTAATTTTGCATTATTAATGATTTCTTGAAAGGAAAGATTAAAAATATTTTCTTCAAACAACTTACTCAATAAAAAAGAACTTACTGTACTTGTTAGGTCATTTAACAAGTACATTTATATCTTAATGTTCTGGAAGTAGTTCTGACACTCAACATGCCATTTTAAATAGCAAGGGTTACCAATACAACTTTTATTTCAATGCTAATACAGTAGAGCGTCGATTATCCGAATCAATTGGGGACTGGGGTTGTTCGGAAAATCAATGTTTCGGATAACCGATTATGTACGAAAAAATATATTAATTTATCCCATCTTGACATTTTTCTTCGTTGAAGTGTCACTTCACGTTGAATTTTCGTTGATGTTAAGCCTAACAAAGACTATTGTATCGTTAAAAATTATTTTTTTATTTTGTACAAACAAAACAAATATATTGAAAAATATAAAAACAATAAAAAATTATACTTCAGAAGTTAATTTAGTATCAAAAACGTTAAATATTTGAGTAGCCCAAGACATAGCCAAAGATTGTAGTGCCACAGCACTGGCAAAAATTTAAATTTGCCGACTGGAATTCTTTCAGATGATTGACTTTTGGATAATCAACGCTCTACTGTATTTTTATTCCTGACTTACATTTTTATTGAGACATAAGCATGCATGGATAATCCACATACCAAATAATCTGCACTCAGATAATTGAGAGTATACTATATCTTAAAATCATTTTTGGGTGGACTTTTAAATTTCTTGATATACAGGGTGTCCCAAAAGTCTCCATACAAACTAAGCCCACCAGTGGCCAAATAAATAAAACCATTGAACACTGGTGGTTGGTCGTTGGTTCGTGCCTGACCAATGGGCTGGCCACCATGCAGTGTTCTGGGTTTTCTTCATGTGTCTAACACCTAAACAGGATTCTTTTTCCACATAGGAAGTCCTGCTAGAAGTTACTCCATTGGCAGATCACCCATGTGTTCTGTTGCTTTACTCCATCAATCCACTGACACAAATCTTAATGCTGATATTTTAATTTTTTGTGAATAAAGTTAAATTTCACCTTTGTATATATGGAAACTTTTGGGACACCCTGTATAATAAGATCTGAAATTTTTAACAATTGTTCTAAGTTTGTTTCCTGGTTTATAAATTTTTGCAAATATTAATAGTACAACACAGAAAGAACAATACTCATTCCTCATTGAATTAGCTAAAACAAATTTTCATTCTTAATGATAAAAATTATTTATTTTGGAATATTTTAATTTTTTTTTATCCTTTTGTTCTGGTGCTTTACATGCCAATTTTAAAAACATTCATATACAAATTAATTTCAAAGTAATTATCAAAAATTATTTGTTCATTTTTAAATTAAAACTAAATGTAGTGATAAAAATAATAAAAGTCTAATAACATATGAAAATATATACTGTATTAGTTTTTAGAAAACTAACATATATTTTTTATCTGTCCTAAGTACAGATTAAAAAAATGTGCTCTGTATAAGTGTTTTATTCTTAATATCTAAACTATGGCAAGTTTCCAACTAGACAATTCATTTTCTGTCAAAACACAAACTAAAAATTGAGTCAAAGTGCTAGCAAGTCAATAATATTGTTTCTACGACAATCACTTTCCACTACCGCAGCAATGATGTCACTGCTGGCACAAAAAATTATTTTAAAAAATTGCACAATCTCTCGTATTTCAAAAACAAAATCACGGATCCCCAATTTTTACTACATTTTTAACATCCTTGTCTCATGTAAATTAACAAAGTTTAATCAAACATTGACCAATCAAATTTTGAGAACAAACTCAACTCTATAAACCACAGAAGAGGCTATGCTAACACTTCACATCAAAAATACTTTTCTACAACTTGGAATTTTATTTTGAAAAAAATTATCATTATGTCTTCATTTGTTACTAAAATGTTACTTTCAAAATCACAGTCATTATTACTTTTGGAATGTTTTTCTCATCAGAATATGACAAATTTAAAATTTGAAAAAAATATTTTCTTAAAACTACCAGTATAAATCTAGAATAAACTCATTTCTGCTAGTAGTCTACTTGTAGATGGTCTGTTGATTCTAGAATTATAATTTTAAAGCAATAATATGATGGAAGAGCTATTTAAAGATGAAAAACAAAAAAATACAGGAAGCCACCCAAGCATTTACATTTATGAATAAACAATCTACATTAACCAACAACACATTTAATATATGAAAAAAATCTTCAATCACCTTCAGTGATTATCATCATGTGACAATGTATTAAGTCTGTTCACATATTAAACTTGTCTGATTTAAGGGTACACTTACACCTTACCAGAGCTGAAGACCATACCTATAGAAGCAAAAAAGTCAAAGGAACCATATCCATACAAGACCCTTCAGGAGATACAGCCCCCCTGAAACTGGCTGCATACAACCAGACGTTGTGCCGCATACTCCACTAAAACCATCAAGTTTAAACATCTAGCTCATGCAACTATGCTGGCTTTGAGTAGCTTACTCAACCATTAGCGGAGTACTCAATGTTATATAGTTTTGACTCCATGCAGGCTCTGAGGCAAAACTATATAACATTGAGCAACAGTAAGCGCCAAAACACACAACTACTTGAGGAGCATTGATCAAGGTGAGCAATAGTGATCCTTAACCAAACACAGCACAGAGAATAGGCATTAGTACCAGTATACAGTAAAAACTGACCTTTGCAAGCAAATACCTCACAAAAGATCAATTATACAAGTACAGTTCCTTTGAAATTTTTGCTCATAAAGGGAGGTCTACAGTTCTGGGTGGGGTAAACCCTTCACATCTTACTGATTTAGGTTGGTTATTTGTACATATTTAGTGAGATATTGATTCAGAATTTGCATAAAATGACCACCTGTTAATTATTTAAAAAAAAAAAAAATCAATTTAAAATCTCCAAGTATCTTAAATGATTTTATATTTTATATATTTTTTGTTTAGAAATTCTAAATTTATTATTAAAGTTGTTTACTTATTGGAAGGACAATAATGACAACACCCTTGTTTATAATATGTAGACAATTAATTTTACAATAAAAATATAATAATGAAACTAGACACGATTCATTATCAAGGTAAAATATATATTTGTGTAGAATTTTATAGTATTATTAAATCACATATAACAGGAAATTACCCTGTACTTCCAAGCACATCTGTCTAAGGACCGGATGTTTCGTAGCATCTTTCGAAATTCTGACCAAAACATTTTCCATTTTTATAAATTTCCTTTACGTAAAAATCACAAAATGAATTCTCTGCACATCTGGAACACATTAATCCGATGCTCACAACTCATATATACAAATATATATCGTTACTTTTGATTGGTTGATGTTGAAATTTATCCAGAGTCAACCAATCAACAAACATGTAACTAATGCCAAGAAATGTCAAAACATCGTCTGGGATTAACAGTTCCGAAGTGATTTCTCATTATTTTTTTAGATTTTAAATATTCGAGAATGATTTATATAAATAATAATTATTCATTCCTTCCTGTTAAAAGTTTCGTTTCGGTTAAAATATCAAAACATTTCGTTTATTTGGCAGCAATATGTTTCGAAACACTTCAAAACAAGATGCAATCTCTATGCAATTTCCGTCTTACGGCTACTGATGCCTTCAGAAATAGCCAAAAGATAGCATTTGTATTTTTAAATTAACCAAAAAATTTCCTTTGTAAAATTATATATAAATATCGTATTTTGTAAATATTTAAGTAATACGATATTTTGGTAAATGTTTAAGTTACTAAAACTTGCATGAAAATGTCGGTTGAATAAACTTGGCGTTTTTTTATTAAAGTTGATTTAAAACTACGTTAAATATCTTTAAAACTATTAATAAATGATATTGCGATTATTTTAAATATTAAGTTTAAGTACAGTTGAATTGAAAAATCAGTTTGAATTGAAAGCCATAGTTTCTTCTATTACGGACAAAATTGTAACTACTGGCTAGCCATATCATTTTTTAAAGTAGAAGATCAAACTTGCCAGGAAATCGACCAGCATAAATTAGGAATGGAAAGTAATAATCCGACTCGACTACGCGTGATAATGATTAGTGCTCTCGTTTGAATCAGATCAGGATCTTCATGGCATAAACTATGAAGATCCTGATCCGATTCGAATGAGAGCGCCTCCCTTCGCAGGTTCACCAGTGATGAAATAGATCAAACCACTGAACAGTGGTCGTGGGTTCGTACCTAACTAACAGACTGGCCGCGCGGAGTTTTTCGGTTTTTTTTTTTTTTTTTTTTTGGCGTGTCTAGCACCTAAAGAGGGGCGCTTCCCTTAGAAAATCTTTCCGGTAGACACTCCCTTCGGCAGATTGTCCATATGTTACGTTGCCTATTTCCCTTGGCAACAAATTGAGACTGTTATGTAGCTACTGATGTATTATTGATATCTAATCTGAGGAATTCTCTTCAAAATTAAATTTAACAATTATAGATAGGAACGACGACGGGTGATGGCCGAGGCGGTTAAGAAGTTAAGAAGACGACAAAGCATAAGGCGATTTCACGTGCAGAATATGGTCATAAATAAGAATCGAGTAATTTCAAAAATATTTAGCTTTTAATTATATAATTTAATAACTTTATAGAAAATATTTATTTAAAAATTTTAATTACACAATTTTTTTTATTATTATTATTTTTTAATTCGCAGGAACTAGATGGCGTTGCGTGTAGGCAACGAAGCCAGACGATAATTTCAAATACTGTATAAGTTATTACGTGTTTCGCTTGCGTTTTTGATTTATTTCTATAAATGTATTTAGTGTAATTTGTAATACGTAACTCGCTAAATACAGTTTAGATAATAAATAATGGAGGAATTGGTTAATTTAGCATCCGAAGTTCAATTAAGTAGCGCTTATGACGTTTCAAATAGACATCCGAGGTTTTCACAATATAAAGTTAAGAAGAAAATGACGTCACAGATTGAAAGAAGACAGAAGTTTTTAGAATCTATAAAACAGTAAGTATTGTAATGTGGGTTTTAATAATAATAAAGGCACAATAAGTGGAAAAAAACGAACTAATCTCGAGTTATGTGAGTAGCAACGTGTTGAGAACGTCACGTGGTATCAGCTCGTTCAGTGAGATGGTCTCACTGAACGAGTTGATATCACGTGACGTTCTCAACACGTTTATGTTGCTACTCACATAATTGGATAAGGTGCCCACTATGCATCCAGCTTTGTAGAAACAGCAACAGGAAATTTTGCATCCCAGCTACTTATAAAGGGCCATGACGCAATTTGGCATTTTAAAAAATGGATAAAATTGTAGCTGTGAATAAGCAGTTGGGATCTTATCAGTGTTATAGACCATGCCTATAGTTGTAAAAAAGTCAATGGGAATTAATGGGCTATGTGTGACTCTTTATGAGATACAGTCCCCCAAAATCAGTGTATTTGAAATATTGAAGATCTTTAAACATGGAGTAAAATTTAAAAGTAAAAAAATTTGGAACTATTTCTCAAAGCAATGTTAAAACTCAACAGTTTACTAAAGATGGCTAAAAGCCCAAAATGTGAGAAATGCTATTTTTAACAAGTACTTCCAGTGCCCTTAGTCTCGAGTTTTTTGTGTTACAACTCCCAACGTGTTGAAGGTGTCACATGGTACCATCTCACACTCTGACGTCAAATTGGTAGTCTCGAGTTATAACTCAAGTGTTTTCCCATCTCACCGTGTGAGTTGCTACTCATGTTGAGTCAAACATGTGAGATTGCTACACGAAAGTGTAATTGGCTGATTGATACACAATTCTTATTGCTATCAAAGAGTTACAAAGGGCTGAAAGACGACGTTTGAGAAGACAATGAATTTTTTGACCATGAGTAGATGCCATTTCTTTTCATGTCAAGTCAACACTAATAAAAAATTTAATTCATAATTGATAAAATTATACAGCAAATTTTTCCAAAAATAAAAAGAAGTATCTAATTCATCAAAAAAGAGAATTAAAATGATAGTAAATTATATGTATAAATTATTAAAAGCGTAGACACTATATTAAGATTATTTATTAATCGAAGTGTTAAGTTGTAATTAATAAATAATCTTAATCGACAATTTAAGAAATAGATCGAGGAAGAAAACTGTACGAAGAAAGGATTAAATTAAAATACTTTTTCCATTACACAATGGATTTTTTAGCTCCAACACATGCAATTAATTTTTCAGCTAATTCTTTCCACAAATTGAATTGTCCTTTTCTTGTAAATTTGTTGTAGAATTTTCCACTGTTCATTTTCTTATTATTTTTTATATATGTTATTAATATTTCCTTTTGTTCTTTTCGCTTATTTTTTAAAATATAAAACATTGAGGGTTTCCAATTTGTTTCTGCATACTATATTCCTATAAGACAAAACTTTTAACTGTAATATCTGTAAACTAATTCATGTTAATTTGTTTAAAACTTGTTACATTCATGTTGATTGGTTGAATCAGTATAGTCACAAACCCAGATGCATTGTAAATAATCCCATCATGCTTAATGACATACATAACCAAGTGAATATGACGTATTTCTGCTCGCCTTTCGAGTTCGCTTGATGGGTCTAACTCGAGACTACTGATTATGTGAGTCATAGTAACATGAGTGAGTTCAATGACGTCAATTCGAGTACAACACGAAAAACTCGAGACTAAGGGCCCAGGGCATGATTGGAGTCATGCTACACACATTATTAAGTCTGTCACATGTTTAATGAGTGTTCTGGTTGGTGGCTATATTTCACAAAGGGTCACACATAGATCATTGATTACTTTCAACATTTTTATTCCTATGGATGTGGTCTGTAACTCAAGGTCCCAACCACCTCATTCAGAGCTGCAGTTTTACCAAAAAATGCCATGATGAAAAATTTGTATCATGACTATCAAAAAATAACCAGAACACACTTCAGATTATCTTCAATGATTTGTCATAGGAACAACATATAGATATTTTTATCACATATGCATACAACAAAGTTCTGTCTTAACCTCATTGAGGAAGAAGAGCAGAGTCCAGTTTAGAGTCAACTTAGTTATGATCTGACATTTCATCTGTGCTTTATCGGTTGGACATCAAAGAAAGCTTATTTGATGTTCAACTCTATGCTTGAAATGAGTTTACTGCCGACAATAACTTCATCGACATATGTGATGTGCCCTTAAGTTCACTATTTCCTTGGTCAGTTGAAATACAGTGTCCAGAAGCAGTGGTACACTCAGAATTTAGTCTTGGGGAGCCAAGTTCAACAGAAAAAAATAAATTTCAATCCAAATTTGATAAAATGCCCATCTTATGCGACTACTAATTCATAAGTTGTATAGAAACAGAAGACATGACATAATATAAATAAAAAACATGAATTTTAATTAGGAAAAGATTTTTGAAAAATTTCTAGTATTAGTTTTCTTTTTCTTTGGAGGACCTTTTTGTCCCCTCTGGTGTGCTACTGTTCAGAAGTAAGCAAGGTTTTATAAGTTGCAATTATAAGAGGTCAGTACCTTTTATAATGCATAAAATGTGGAATTGTTTGAAAGCAATTGTAATTCTAAGTGTCATTCTAGCAGTTCCTGCAAAAATAAATTAGCTTTTCACTGTGCTTAATTATTAAACACAGTCATATAACTTCAACTCCTTATTTGCTATCCCAGAATAAACAGGAAATGACCATAATACATTGCGGTATGATAATGCTGGAATGCTTTGTGGTAAATTTTTAACAGTCACAATACAAATTTCTCATCATGGCATTTTTTTAATATGCCAGAATGCATTGTGACTCTTTATAAGCAGTCAGGATGTAAAATTTCTTGATGTTGCTGTTTCTGTAAAGGTACAATGTATTCTATCATTTTTTTCTGTTCATTGAGTGTTTTCAGTCTTTGAGCCTAACATACATACAAAATAGCCATAAAGTCCATAATAATAATTAGAAGTTATCCGAATGTTCTGTACTATTTTCTGTACAAATAATTTTTTCATATTTTTGGACATCTTTTCCTATACATTGATGCTATTAAACCAATTTTTGATGGCTGTTTTAAGTCTGTGAAGTTGAGAAATATTTTTTATTATAATATTCCAAAGTGAATTGCCACGTCTGAACTTTGACAAAATCATACTAATCAATTCCATGTCCATTCTACCATCTGCTGAGTTTATCATCAAAGTAGTCTATTACAGGGACACTAAGACACAATTGCACACACAGAACTTTACAACTACTCTGTATAACTTATATAATATGCAAATGTTGAATAAGTGGGTTATACAAATCCACAGAGACAAATATTTTATATATACAAAATATTTATAACTTATATTACAAGCTGATGAGTAAGGAATTATCATTCTTATAACGTTTGAATGATTTATGGAATTTTTCTAATAATAAAATTTTCAATACAGTAGAGCATCGATTATCTGAATCAATTGGGGACTGGGGTTGTTTGGAAAATTGATATTTCAGATAACCAATTATGTACAAAAAAATACATTATTAATATAGTATATTAGTATATCCCAATAATATTATATTAATATATCCCATGTTTAAATTTTTCTCTGTTGCGTGTCGCTTTGTGTTGAATTTTCATTGATGTTAAGCCTAATGAAAATTTTTATAATAATAATTGTGGCTATTGTATTGTTAAAAATTATTTCTTTATTTTGTACAAAATAAATATATTGAAAAATATAAAAACAAAAAAAATTATACTTTAGAAGTTAATCTAGTATCAAAAACGTTTGATTCAGCATGACACAGTCTGACTGCAATGCTTTTGGTTAACTGACGTTTCAGTTGATCGGCATTTGGATAATTGACAGTCTACTGTAATTTCAAAATTATGGTTACAAATCAGAGTAACGTCTAGGATGAGTTGAAATGGTTGTATTGAATTTTTTTTAATCAATGAATGCAGAGAGAAACATTGTAAACTATAATAATCTAAGAACATGATTTGAAAACTAGCTAAAAAAGTAAATTTATTTTAAATTTGAATTCAAAATCATCTTAAAACTTTCATTTTCTTCAATGGGAATATGCTTTCAGCTGATTATTGAAATTCTTAACAGATGTAATTTGTAAAAATCAAAAACCATCCACACTTAAACAACTTAAATATTTTCTAAAATATTTAAGTTGTTAACTTGCTCTATGTTGTTAAATTTATAACAACATAGAGCAAGTTGAACATTCCGATTTAGAATTTAGATCTAGACCTAATGCAGTATGAAATGAGCTAAAAACATTTGTCAGCTTAATAAATCTTTGCTGGAAAAGTGTGGATGGTTTTTGATTTTTATGTTCATCTCAGTTCAGCTTTTTTAATGTGTTTTTAGCAGATGTAATTCTCTCATCTTCTCAGAACTACTAGTATTTTGGCAATATGACAAACATGGCATTGTCCAGAAGTATAAATTTTAAATTTGTTACTTTATACACAAGTTTGCTTCGTGTTCTTAATTGTCTGTCAAAATATTTACAGTTAATTCAAACACGGTGTTTCAAGTTATCATCTTTGATTGTAAGAAATATAATTTTATTTTGCTATTAAAGAATTTTAAACTATTAATAATTTATATCATAGTCAAAGAATTTTTTTTTAAACAGAAGGTCATATCTCTCATAACTGCACTTGCAGATTGCATAACCACATATATATTCAGAATGCATATATAAAAATATACATGTAAGATGTCTTTATTGAAAAAAAAGAACAGAAAATGTATTCTTTTTTTCTAGTTTAAAGGAAAACAAATGTCTAAAAGTTAAAATGAAAAAACATAACAAAAATATCAGGTCATACTATAAACCAAACCAAAAAGGCTGCAGACTTCTTGATCACCTGATATTTTACAATGTAAATTCATGGCAATTACAAAGTAATGTTAATATTTTAAATTTTAAAATATTAAGAACATTTTGATTATATTTTATGTATTTAATCGTATTAATGTACAGTAAG